ATGATTTTCTCAATTCAAAATAAATTTTTAAAGTTAAAAAATTGTAGTTTAATATTGATGGGTTTTTGCCATCTGTCAAAACTTTTGCCACCTGTCGAAACTTTTGCCAACCGTCGAAACTTTTGTTACCCATCGAAACTTTCACAGTTTTGCCTTTAATAAAAAAATTTGGCAAAACATTTCAATAGGTTTTAATTTCGATGCTTGTTGAAACCTCTGGGTTTTGCCCGGCAACCTTATTTTGTTAGAAATTTAATTGTTAAAAAGATTAATTTTTTTTTAAAAAATAATAAATAAGATGAAAAGTATTTATTATTTTAAGATGATTGCATAATTATTTAAGCTTTTAATTTATTTGTTAATCTGCAGAATTTATAATATTAAATAAATTAGCAGATATGATTATATAATTATACTAGCTAAATTTATATATAAATATGATATCATATTTTTATCATATTTTTTAATTAATTTAGTTTACTTTCTTTTAAAATTTCTCTGCTAAAAAAAATATTTTAATAAAATTTTTTTTAAAAAAATAATTTGTAAAATGGTTTGTACTCATATAACTCAAAAAAAGTCAAGATAATCAAGATGCTTATATAAATCAAACCTCAAAACTAAAATAATTGAAAAAACTAAAGGTTAAAAAGCAACTAAAACTAAATTACTACATATTAAAAGTAAGTAAATAAAAATTTTACATAATTTTTATATATTATTAATTAAAGACAATAATTTCTATTTATATAAAATAAAAGAACTTAATTTCAAATTCTGAAATTAATAAAAATGTTTCTTTAATTATTGAATTAGAAGATTTAAATAATATAATACCATTTTCTGATAATTCTACTTTTATTTACAATATCTCTACACAATTATTAAATGTTAATTTTCATGATATAGATGAAGGGGGAAGCTAATATCAAAAGTGAGCAAGTGGAAATAATGGTATTTATAATTTATAAATAAACTAATTTCTTTTTTATATATAATAAATTATTACTTTTATTTTATTTAAGATTCATCTTTAGAACAAATTATTTTTGATCATCAAAGTATTGACATAATGTTTCAAATTGTACGAAAAGGAGTTGAAGCTGCTATTAAAGCTGAACAAGCTGCTAATGTGCTGTGCTAATCATTGATGAAAAAAATCAAACTACATTGGTTAAAATAAATGATCAAGTAATGCATCTAGCTAAAACGTCACAAGATTCATGGTGACAGGTTGATGATATTTTTATTTAAAATTATCTTTATTAATTTATATTACTAAACATTATTTGATTAGGTTCTTTTTAAGAATGCATCAAAATCTCTTTTACAAACTTTTATATATCCTACAAATTCTGAAATGTGCAAAGCTATTTATGCCGAAATAGAATTAAAATTCCATCCCAACGCCAATGTTATACTGATGCACAATGGAAATACTTACTTGAGCACAAAATTATTCGTCAGGTTACAGAATTTTTTTAAATCTTTGTTTTCGATTTATATTTTATCTGCTAACAAAGTTTAATATGTGTACAGTTTTCTGATCAATACCGTCGTACACATGGATCACTTCCAGTAAAAATTAAAAAAGTCGTGTATCATGTATTTGCAGAACACAATCTACCTACTATTAAATCAATAGGCGGATGGGCAAAATGGAAGGAATCAACAATAACTGAATGGGCATTTGAAAATCTTGATAATCCAATTGATTCTCAAGATCTTAGCGAATGTACTATGGCTGTTATTTCTTTATTCTTAGATCCTCATAGTGGCACAGTAGAGATGAACGAAGGAGTTGTAACGCCAAAGATGATAATTTATTTGGTGAGTACTATAATATTAACTTATGAATTTAGCCTAACAATTATATTGATTTTGTCCATTAATTTCAGAATGAATTAGACGAAATTATCGAAGATTTTAATTAGAAGTTCAAAATATTATTATATACATCACAATATTTATTGATTATAGCATGCTATTAATTTTTCATTATAATTTAATAATTAATTATATACATATTTTATTTCGCACTTTGTATTTACATGTATTAAGAATTGGAAATTTTTTACGCAATATATATGCTCTTGGTCAAAATCTAATAATAACGTTTTTTACAAATGGATGTTTTGTGATACCAAAAAGGACGTTAAATTATCGGTTTATGATCGTACATAACATATCTTCCAACCTGCTGAGGGCCCGTCAATGAATAGTTAATAGACATATGTCCAATGATGGTCACTGATCCTGATGAAAAATTTCAATTAGTAATTGAAACGTTTCATCAGGATCACGATGTTTCTTTGTTTAGATATATATAAATATTTTGATATTTACATGCTACGTTCGACAAAATTCTTTTTGAAACAATATTTCATTAATTTGAACGCGATTACAATTAACGCAAAAGTTTTTTAAAGAATTAATAAACTTTTTTTTTGAATTATGCTTGTTTACATCATAATTTATTTTCAAATAATAAATGATCTTCAAATTTTCATGCAAGGTAATTAAAAACAAAAAACATCATAATTTAGTATACAATGAAATTTCATATATCAAACTTCCGAAGATAATAAAGTTCAAAAATGAAAAAGAAAAGATTAAGTAAAATACGTCCATCTCATGCATGTATAATTATGAAAATTTCCAATCTTCAAACAACCTTCCAGATTTTAAAATGTGAATTATGTCTTACATATAAGCAGGGTTGGGAAATTAGTACAGTTAGTACAGCTTAGTACAGTTTAGTACAATTAGTACACATAATAATTAATATAAAATTTAGTACAGTACAGTACAAGTACAAGGTCAAAATTTGCCTAGTACATACAAATTTCCCAACCCTGCATATAAGATTTTAGGATATTCAAGATATGTTTTATTTCATTGAACTTATAATTTATATATTCTTTCTCGACTGCCTAAAAGTATTCTAAACATTTTTAATTATTTTTATATATATGAAATAAAAATATTTACGCAAAAAAATAAGTGTTTGAAAATTTGATGTAATCTTACTAAACATTAATATATGCTTTTTAGCTTAAGTGAAAAATTTTGATGGATCGATGTCTTATATGTTAAATTATTTTGTCGCATTAGCTGTAAATGCATGTTTCCAACCATGATTTTATATTAAAAACAACCTCTGTATGTCTTTAAGTGATACTCATATAAATGCTAAAAACATGATGGAGAATGCCTTTCCAGCATGTCAATAATGTAACGAATGTGGTGATATTATAATCATTATCGAAAATAATAATATAATATTAACTGCGGATTTTAATTTGATCAAAATATCTATATATATTATGTTACATTCTCAGTTAAAACAATCAATGTCTCATTTTTCTGAATCATTTAGCAATATAGATTAATATTTATTTGGAATATTCTTCATCATCCGAAATTTACTGTGAAGTATTTTTTTTTTCGACTCTTCGTATATTCGCTATCTAGTGTATTGCTCCGGTCCAACAGTCAAATTCTCGCTGAAATTTCCTTTCAATTAGAAAGTGTTGTACAATAAAGCGAATGATGGTTTATGGATATATTCATATCAAATTATTTCACGATATTTAGAACTATTTTTATTTTGTATTAACGTTTTTTGGTGACAATACGAGGGCATTCTCTTGGTCGTTAAGTAGTGCAATGGGATAATGTCTCTCTTTCTCAGACCCTTTGTACCTGTAGAATATAATAAGAGGAAAGAAGTTAGAGGAAAGAATTGAAAAGGTGAAGGACTGACAATAAAACAAATAAACACGTAAACAATGGGTGTTCAAAGGTTTAATGCTTATGCAAATAGGGCGTGTGAAAAGTGACCAACTCCTCGAAGGAAACTTTCATGTGTAAAGGCAAACACTTGTAAGAGGTTGGATAGGGAGCGTTTGTATTTAAGTGCTAAACCGTCGTTCTTATGGATACCACCAGAAAAGGCTTCTCATTTTAAATCTACATCATAATTAAAAGCAGTTAATGAAGGGAAATAGGCTAGACAGAAACTAAAGAAAAACAAATGTTATTAGACCCATAAATGACAACGTTAAAGGAGAAATAAAAATATTAATAAAAAAAAAATATTTCCCATAAATAATTATAGATAGTTTGGTATGAAAGTTTTTATCGTATTGCTCCATTAGGAAAAATAACGAATTCGATATTCTGATTGGCTTATACTGCTCAACATCGGCAAAAGGTTTACAAACTGATGTTAATCCTACATAATGATACCCAAATACTTCAGGTGCTATATATCACCATATATTTCATTATTCTGCGGGTTGTGATAATCCTAGATCTCCAATGCTCCACAAAATTCTATGTAATATATGAAGATTTCGATGTATAATATTTTCCATGAATATCGAAATTCTAAAGTTAAAAAAAGTATCTAAAAATATATATATTAATAAATGTGATAATTAATTAAAATATAATTACCATTGTGAAATATCGAGTAAAATATGTAATTTATCATTAAAATATTTTTGTAAATAATTATGCATACTCGGGATCTTGCGTAACTCCATTGAATAACATCTTCGTACATCGAAGTATCGTTACAATGATATAACGAATTTTAACTAAAATTTTATAATAGTAAAATATTTAAATATAAGGTATAATTAGAGTATATTAAATAATAACCTCATTTTAAAAACTTTGCTGATATTTTGAGAGTGTAAGATTCTTTTTATCGCAACAAATTTACTTTTATCATTATAAGGATTTAATCTATGCCATATCTGAGAATACGGAACCAGTGGAGTACATCGAAGCACCGCAAATAAATCGACAAAATACCTGATGAAAAGTTTAGATCGTTATTTTTTGTGTAATAGATAAAATGGAATTTCCACTGATAAACTTTGAGACATTAATATTGATTGATACAACTCTCTTGCATTTGCTACACTGAGATTGATCGATAATTCCAAAATCATATTTGTTTTTAAGCAATATATACATCCGGTATATAATACAAAACAATATGAACACCACTTTTGACAAACTGTTGCAACGAGTAATAAATATTACAAAAGTTAGTGTCATTCCACTATGGCAAATAAAATATTGGAATTGATTTATTAATAACTGTTGATTTTGTCCCATTAGGAATCAAGTAACATTTAGGACATTTCTCTTCAAGAGGATTCTTAATGCTTGCATTCGATATATTAAAAATAAACGATCCCTAAAAAATTTTGTCAAAATGATAAAGATCCGAGCAATTTAAACACTAATTAATCTTGATTATCATACGTCAAATAATTCGAATTTCTTAATTTATGAGTATTGTTTGTGCCTATAAAAACATCCAGGTGTATATTTAATACTTAATATACCAAGTTAAGCAACTTTTACAATATTTTGTTCATATCATCTATTGACCTAGAAAATTCAAGTCCACAATAATTGTAACTGTCATCATCTTCATAAATAAATAAACAAAATTGGCACGGGGCTAGATTTTAAATTTGGGTTGGGTCAAATGTCTCATTTTTAAAAATGTCATTTTGTTTATAATATAATTTGAAAGTGAAAATATTTCCCATATTGTATCAATTTATTATTTTATTTCGGAGGTAAAGGTCCGATATTTTCCGGCATACAGCAAGTTTAACCTTAAATTTAAATATAAAGCCGTAGAAAAAGATTTCAATCCACACAAGTGCTTATCATTTTTTCTAAGTAAAATTAATACTTTTCTATATTTAGTAAACTTAGTGTATTGCGGAAATTCTTTTTAAAAAAAAATTTTAAAATTGAATTATACAAAATATTTGAAATTATAATTTTTTAAAAGCCGACATCCAAATACAACTGTGTAATTTACCTTACTAATATAAAATTGAGGTATATAATTCATTTTAATGTCGGTTTTTGTAAACCATTTAAATGTAAGCTGAAGGTTTTTAATTGAACAATTGTGATGTAAAGAATTAACTTATCGTCGGCACTGTAAAATTTCGAAATTACGTTTATTAACGAAAAAAATATATGGAACGTTTACAATAGAAAGGGGTGATACAGTCGGCAAAAATCAATTTCACTTTTATATGCCAAATATGATTTTTAGGTCAAAATTTGTTCAGATTTAGCATCAACTCATTTTTTATTTTTTCCAGCCGTTTCTCCCTTTCTATTGCAAAGATCCCATATATATTGGTTTGTGCGTTAACTATAATTTGCGCGTCAGATGCAGAAGACTAAATTATAGGCCTATTTGGGCTGATCTTATAATGTCTTAAGAAGGTTTGGCCTGCATTAGTCATCTGACGCATGTCAACTGTCAGTTGACTCAAATCGACATCTGACGCACAACATATATATAAAACAAAATAAAATATATAAAATAAAAAAAATAATGGTAAATAAAATCGAGTGAAGGAAAAGAATAAAGAAAGGTTTTCGTTATGTATATCCAAAGGAACATTAACTGTATTAATCTTTTATAAAGTATTTGAATTCACGGATTTCTTTGTATCGGATATCAAGTTGAATAAGTTCTGGTAGGAATTAAAAATCTTTGTAAAGAAAATGTTACCATGGGCGTGTTTGGTCGATCACTATGAATAATTTAATCCGTTCATTTGATTTTTTAAAAAATTTATAACGTGAAAAATATCTCTTTAAAATTTTTAAAAATGTAATAATTCTATTGAACTTTGAAGATACAATAAATCGATAACTTTTAGGTATTTTTTTTTTTTATATCAGGAACCTTGTCGCACTGGTATAACGAATCAATTATAAAGGGGCGCAGGAAATTGGAATTTTCGTAAGACAAATGCATCGTGATCATCTTATTACACGAAAACTAAAGTGGTAATATCATATTCCAAATTAATATATAATTTTCTCAATGAGTTTTTTTTTTATTGTTTCTTTTTTTTTAATTTGAAACTTCTGT